TGGATGAAATGCACTTTATTCATGACAGCCTTTTTCCTCAATGTCCCCAATCCCACAACACAATTCCATCCTCTTCTGGAATTTTATTTTTTTTTTCTCTAGTGAAATTTATTAGATGCCGCTCTGCAACAACATACATTGGCAACCACACCTTGGAAAGAACGACTCTTAGAAGGCACAGTCAGTGTTTTGGACATATTTGTTTCCCCCATGAGCTTAATATATTTTTTGAATGAATGAATAAATAAATATAAAAATATACACAGCTAGCTGGACACAGTGCATGCCTGTAATGCCAGCTACTCAGAAGGCTGAGCAAGGAGGGTTGCAAGTTTGAGGCCAGCCTCAGCAATTTAGCAAGGCACTAAGCTAATTACTGTCTCAAAATTAAAAAAAATAAATAAGAGTCTGGAAATGTAGCTCAGTAGTAAAGCGCCCCTGGGTTCAATCTCCTTTACAGGTCACCCCCCACCCACCCACTCGGCAATATATCTCTGTGTGTATTATATACACACACAACTGGAACAAACAAAAATTGTTGAGCCCATTTTGGGGGAAAGCATTTGATTCTAAAACTCATTTTTAGAAACCTGAAGAAGTTTTATCAATGTTTGGGACATGATGAGTGCTTGACTTTTGCTCTCCATAAGTTTATATTCTAAAGGAGGGACAGAGAGGAACTGGGGATTGCTCTTTCTGTATGGCATTTTAATGCATAAGTTTTGGATGGGATGAGAGGAGGCTAGTGAAGTTTGGGTTTGGGGTTGATTTGAGTTTGCCTGCTCAGCATCATGCAGGGTTGGAAATGTACTAGACCTACAACTCTCTGGTCCAAACTCTTCATTTTGCAGGAGAAAATTTTGGCCAACAGAGAATGTTTTACCCCAGGCCACTAAGCTAAAAGGTGGCATGTCTTAGATTGAATAGTTTTCAAAATAAAGTAGTAAGAGAAGCAATGCATTCAAACTTTTCTGCCAGCCAGTTGCAGTAGTGCACTCCTATAATCCCAGCTACTCTGGAGGCTGAGGCAAGAGGATCGCAAGTTCTAGACTAATCGCAAGTTGAGTAACTTAGCCAGAACTTATCTCTAAAAATAAAAAGGGTTTGGGATGTAGCTCAGTGTTAAAACCTTTCTGCAGAGTCCCTGGGTTAGAAATTTAGCCGTTTAAATAATTTGTCCATAGCACATAAATGGAGCCTGCTAAACTGATCGGTGGTGAAGTGAGCACTAAAAACAAAAGAAAAACCAAACCAAACAACCCCCTCCCCCCAAAAAACAAAATAAAAAAACCAGCACCACCAACAAAAAGCCTTCAGCTATGCTTTTGAGATATCTATATCAACACCACCCCCATTTGATGGGCAGAGGTGAGCAGGGGAGGAAAGACATTTTCCAGTCCTATGGTAAGTGTTGTCTAAAGATACCCTTTGGTTGCACAGAGGTCTCTCCTTTGAGCATGAGATGGCCTCCCAATTCTTTTGAGCCTACCTACTACAAGAGGGTGAATACAGCCAAGTAAAATGGATCTTTCCTGTATTAGCTCACAGTAATTACTCAGGTTCTTTGTTCAGGAAGTGGGAATCACAGGAGTTTTCTTTCCATTGCTACTTTATTAATTCATTAATGATTTTTTCAGGCAAGTTTTATTCAGGTACATTGGCAGTGAGTCAGAAGTTGGCATCAAAACCAGAATAGAAGCCATAGTCCTCTCTGGGGATTCAGTTTGAGATTTCAAATCCCCAGATCACACAGTTTCCTAATTGGAAAGAAATTTTCTTAAACAAGAGCAGGGGTTTTGCCAGAGCCTGACAGTGACTAATAAGGTCGGTCTAAGGACTATCTGATGAAAGAGAAGTTGGATTTACATGTCACAGTGAATTTTTAAAAGTATTTTCACCCCAAGGTTTACTCCTGAATATAAATAAAATACCTCTCCTTGAGCAATCCCATCCCAATTCTGGCAGATATGCTTTAGTAATTAACTTTGAAATGACATTCAACAACATTTTCCTCGCAAATGCCTTTGTTTTCTGCAAGATCGGCTTATTGACAAGCTGATCACAAGGTTCACGTGTAAATTGATTGTTTCCTACTCTCATCCTGCAGACCAGTTGGAGACCAGCTATATGTCATTTCCATACCGGGTGTTGGGTAGCTTCGACATTGTATCCATTTGACTAGGGACCAAATGGCCCACACACTTCAATTAAAAAAAATTATTTAGGGTTTTTACACAGTATCCGGATAAATACAAAACGGTAATTTAAATCTCATTTGTTGAAATTTAGCGGCTGAGGCTAATTCCTCAGTTGGAAGGAGGGGAGGGATTTTTGTTTCCTTCATCTCTTTTAAAAATCAGCACATCGCGTTTGAAACAAAAGCAGCTCCCAGCTTAAGGGCTCTAAGTCCGAAGTTGCTGTCACCCTCCAGGGAACAAGCGCGCAGGCGCGGGTATGCACACGTGGACACACACACTCACACGCGCCCGCCCACACCCCCTTCCGTGTGACTCGCCTGCAGGATTTACGGCCTCGCCACCATGGATTACTGTCAGGTGCAGAAAGCAACTCTTTGTTCCATGGGCATTTTCCTCCCCCCGGATTTGACTGTTATTTACCGGCCACGTGAACGCTGCGCCCGGGTCGAACTGGCGGGGAAGTGCCCCAGCTCAGTGGAGACAAAGGCTAGCAGAGCGCGGCCAGCCAGCGCCGCCCGGGGACGTCTCTCCAGCTTCTGCGACACGTGTGAAATTGGCCCAGAATTGCCTCAGATTCAGAGGCTCTTTCAAGAAATGAATTGTCAAAGCCTTTGTAGGGGAGTCGGGGTTTCCTTGAACCGGGAGAAAACTGGGGGCTGGGCCTAGAAGGGCCGCATTTCTGAGCTGCGGAAGAGCAGCGAGGGATAGCGAGTCCGCCCCAGACAGTTGGGGCAAGGAGAACTCCCTTGGAGAGGTTGCACTCCTGGCGTTTAGTGAAAGAAAACTCATTAGGGTCAAGAGTCTCACAGCTACCCCAGCAGAATGAGAAATGGGACCCAGGCCCGTTTTGCACTCCCCACTGGAAAGTCAATGCTATTGCTGCCTTCCCACTTGGAGTGCCCAGGTCCTGACAACCTTCAGTTGTGGCCCTTTCCATGGCCGAGATGAGGATAAACTAGTGACTTGTGCGCAAAATTAAAGCGGACTGGGCGGGGGCGCGCCAAAAAATCAGTAGTCAAAAGAAATATTTTAACGCAACACCTTTTAAAAAAAATTAATGCCCAAACCCCATGATAAACAAAACATTAAATTTTAAATAAAGACAGGATCTTTGTAGTGCTGCACTGAGCCATTTTGTAATGAGGCAAAAGGAAAGATCCCCAGGGAAAAGCGACGCACCTCACAGCCCACAGGACCCGGGCCGGGGTGGAGGATTCCGGGTGCAGTGGGAAGGGGGCTCAGGTCCAAGGCCTCAAAGGTGGAGGCCGCAAAAGCCCCAAATGAGTGGATGGGCGGCCTTGGGGTGAGACCTCCTGAGAGAGGCTCCGCCGGGAACAAAGACTAAGGGGAAGGACAGCCAGGAGGGCTGAGCCGGGTGGGAGAGACCCGGCGGCTTTGGCGGTTCTCACTGCTTTGGCCGGGCTTTGGCGCGCAACCTGAAATGGAATAATCGAACCCGCCCCCACCAGTGCCGTAAGCTAGTCCTGTAATTCTCTAGCTCGTTGATTAATTTTCACTAACAAGACTTGGCAAGATGTCGGACGAATAATTTTTGGCTTCTGTAAGGTTCCCTCCGCGTGCGCGCACAAACCCCCTGCCAAAAGCGGCCTCTGGGAAATTAAATGCATAAGTAAAACAGGGTGGGGGTGGGGTAATGCTACGTGACCTGGAAAGAGGGATGCAAATCAACCTGAATCGGTCTCAGAGTTTAATAAAAAGCCTTTCCAGTCATTCTTTTTTAAGGGTCTAGCTCCGCATCAAACATAGACCCTAATTGTCATTTCCTAAGAAGAAATGAATGTGTGCAAGATGGGGATGAGGACTTCTCCAAAAGCCGAACCTGTCGTGATCTCCCCCCACTTCCCCACCCCCGCGCAACCCCTAGAGTTAAATAAACGTCTTTTAGGAAGCGTGGATAGGAGTGCCGCCCAATTCTCTTCCATAGGAACAACATTCCGGCAATTAATACCTCCCACTGGGTCGTAAAGCAACAAACCCCACACCTCACTCCTATTACTGGGCTTGGGGCGGGAGGACTTTCTCTTTCATCTTCTAAGTTGGGGTTTGCCCACGTTCCTCGGGAAGCTATAAAGCTGATTTAATGGCTTCAGAGGACTATCGATCACGCTAATGCCTAAGCCAACGTCTGAAGAATGGCATTTAAAAACGACCCGCCGGTCCGAATGCACACGGTAAGTATTGGTGAAGGTCCCAGGCCCCGAGGAGCGGGCAGCGGTGCAACGTTCCCCTGTCCATTTCTGTATTGGGGACAGACGGGAGAGACTATTCCGGGTAGGCGCGGAGGCCAAAAGGAATGGAAATCTCAAACCCGAACCCTGGCTTTGGTTAAGGCCGGCTTCTCGCCTAGCTATTTTCTTTGCGCCAAACGCCTCGCAGCGGGGTGGAATGGCTGCGCGGCGGCTCGTGTCGGGCAGGAAGCGTGCTGCGGAGGCTTAGGGACCGCTGACGGACAACAAGAAGCGCCGCCGCGCTCCATTCACAAAGTCCTGAAGTCGCCGCTCGCCGGCGGGTCGGAGGCCGCCTCCCTCTTCCTCCAGGTCTCAGTTTTATGAATGGGCCTGGCAGCGAGCACCAAGCTCCCTGTTTACTCCTCTCTTTGTGACGTAGAGTTCCCGTGACTGGGCGCCAGCAGTCGGTGCTCCATTCACGCTCCGCGGAGGGGGCGGGAGGAGGGGCCAGGGCTTGGGCGGGGAGCTGGTGTGGGGGGTGGGCGCCCAGCCGAAAATGGAAATAGGCGGGGCCTCGCGAGGTAGTAATGAATCTCCCCCTCCCCCGGGAGAGCGGAGGTGCATTAATAAATCTTTAAGCCTGGGAGGAAACTCTGGTTGGGGCAGTGAGCGGAGCTCTGGCGGCGAGTGGGGAACGACAGCTACGCGCGGGCGGTAGCAGAAAAGCACAACCAGCAAAACACATCCGAGGCAACAGCCGGAGGGAGCCGGTGGTCCTCTCTCGTAAACACACACCCCTCCACCGCCACCCGCTCCTCCGCGCCGCGCGCCCGCCTGCTTTGGTGCCTGTGGCCGCTAGGACTGCTATGTAACCTGGAGGCTGCGGGAATCGAGTAGAGATTGGCCCGCGGGAGCCTCTGGGGGCCAAGTTTGCCGTCACTTCTGAAGGCTCCCTCTCTTAGTCCTCACTCGCCCATTCCTGTAGCCTAGCTGGCCCGAGTTACTTTCTCTAGCCTCCTCGCGCTCCCAAGCAGCCGCTGTTCCCGGCGACTATGGTGACGATGGAGGAACTGCGGGAGATGGACTGCAGTGTGCTCAAAAGGCTGATGAACCGGGACGAGAGCGGCGGCGGCGCGAGCGGCAGCGGCAGCCACGGCGCCCTGGGGCTGCTGAGCGGCGGCAAGTGCCTGCTGCTGGACTGCAGACCGTTCCTGGCGCACAGTGCGGGCTACATCCGAGGTTCGGTTAACGTGCGCTGCAACACCATAGTGCGGCGGCGGGCTAAGGGCTCCGTGAGCCTGGAGCAGATCTTGCCCGCCGAGGAGGAGGTGCGCGCCCGCTTGCGCTCCGGCCTCTATTCGGCGGTCATCGTGTACGACGAACGGAGCCCGCGCGCCGAGAGCCTCCGCGAGGACAGCACCGTGTCCCTGGTAGTGCAGGCACTGCGTCGCAACGCCGAGCGCACAGACATCTGCTTGCTCAAAGGTAAACGCGGGCGCTGGGGCGCAAGCTGGAGAGTAGGTGTAGGGGGGCTTGGTGGCCTGTGCCTTATTGGACGTGGGAAGGAGTATCCAGAGCGATTCTTGGCTGCGGGGATCCCCGTGCGCTCCTTTGTGCGTGTTATTGTGCATGGGTTTGCTAGGTTTTTGTGCGTACTGGTGCGAATACGAGTTCCAAGTCCTCAGGGACAGCGCTGGCGCGTTTCCCTGGTCACCTGCGATTTCGCACGCGTTCTAAAGATATCGCGTTTATTTACACTCACGGTTCTGGCCTAGAGACCCAAGCGACTCCTCTGAGCGGCGCATCTCGGAGTCCTCCCATCTCCAAATGCTCCCAAGTACCACTGTGCGGGAGGAGACAAGATAGGCCTTTTAGGTTGGCTTGCCGTGACCCTGCACTGAGCCTGACTCTGAGGACCCGAACGATGAGTAAAGAGGTGAAGTGGGGTAAGCCCCGAGGTGAGATTGGCTCCGCAGTTTCGACTGAAAACCAGCTCTGGGTAAAGGTACAAATGAGAATTGGGTTGCAGACATTGTGGGGAGAGATCTCTGACTCTTCTCCCGCTGCCCAACTCCGAGCTCTGCTGGAAGGTGGCCAACTCCCGCCGCCTGGGGCTGGATCCAGGCTCCTGGAGCTGGAGGCTAGAGAACTGGGTAACAGGGGTACGCCCGGCCGAACCGTCCCTCTACTCCCTTGCTTATTCGGGCGGCGGCGAATTACAACCTTTTGTTTAGACACCATTCTCGAGTAACGGATGGCGGCGGGTGCGGGATTTCGGTGAACCCTGGAGAAACTAACTCTTGGTGGCGGGACGGAGGGCGGGTGCGTTGTCAAATATGGAAGTTAGGAACCCCGAAATAACCGCGTGCTAAGTCACCGGAGAGACTGTTCGCGGTAGCACCTGCCGAGACGGGTCGGTCTGCTGCTCTCAGGCTTGGAAGCGGGCTGGGCGCGTGGGGTCGGGGCGCCCCCTGTCGCGCTGCGCCCCTTCCTCCTGCTGCCGCATTCCGCGCATTCTTTCGCTCTGGTCGGGTCTTTGCTTCCGAACCAGAGAGGCGTTTCAGACCCTCGCCATCAAAGAGCCGCTCCTTTCTCTGCGAGCACACTTCGCCCCCTCCTCTTCCTTTCCTCTCCGGCCCTGTCCACCCCAGAGGAAGGGAGATGGGGGCGGAAGCCTCCCTCCCTCCCGCTCCAAAAAGCACAACAAAATCTCAGTGCGGACAAGCCGGGTTTGCTCTTGCTGAACAGCGGGGGGCTTTGTTCTTGGCAGTTGTTTCCTGACCATTTGACCTGTCAGCTGCTGGGGAAATGCTGCTGTTGACCTGTGGTTGAACTGCTAAGGCGATTTTGCTGATTTTTCTTTCTTTTTTTTGCGTGAGAGCCTCCTTTCGCACCTCTCTTGAGCCCAGCACCCCCCACCCCCCAGCTCTCAGGAGCAAGTGACAGGAAGGGGCTTGGACCTTAAGGATCTGCCTTGGGCGACGCGCCTGTACCCAAAGCCCCGCGGAAGCGCTCGTCCAACGTCCTGGGGCAGCCAGGTCCAGCCTGGACCACCACGGTGGGCGCCTGCGCTATTATTAGGCCTTGAGAGCTCTCCCCTGCCTGGTGCTGGCGCCGGTGGAAGAGGAAAGAAATTCCCCTGGGACGCACGTCCCTTCGGAAGGTGCAGCTGGCCTGGGTGTTGTGCGTGTCGCCAGCCCTGGAGTCCCTCCGGATTTAGAGCCAGAGTGCTCCAGTAGGTTTTCGGGCCTCTGAACCCAGGGCCCGCGAGAACGCCTTAGGGCTGGGGCTGCCTTCAGTCCCACGTGGAGTCAGGGGTTTGTTTTGTTTTTCTTCCTGAAAGAAATCCGGAGGGGACCTCCCTGGAGCGGTAGCTCTGGGACCTTGGCCCCTGGGCTTCCGGAGTCACAGACACTAAGGCCCCCCGCTCCGGAGGAGGAAGGCATATTTTTAAGGTTTACCTTGCTGGCTCCCAGCACCTTCCAGACCCCTCCAATTCCACCCCGAGCCAGACCTATTCAGAAAGAGGCTCCGGGCTGGATATTGAGGGAGAGACTAATACTGACGTAAACACTGGGTAGAACAGGTGACCTCTGAGCAAAATGACAGCCTTCTGGTGGGTGGCCAGGGTTCCTGGCCAACGGAAGAGAAGCATTTCCTCCGAGGCCTACACTGCCTCTCGCTGTTTGCCCCGACCAGGCAGGGAGGACCACCCACCGTCTCACAGGCCATATCCTCCCAGGTGGAAGGTGTCTACCACTGGGTCACTTCTGTATCTTCGGAAACCCCCTTCCCTTCCCACCCCTGCCACCACCAGTAGCTGCAAGTTCTGCCCTTGGAAATAAGCACCTAAAATTAAAAGGTGGGAGAATCTTCCCGGCTCCTTGTATAGTGGTGGTAGGATATTTGCGAAGTCAACTGGGCCACATTCTGTTTAGCAGAGCTTATGTCGATATGTGTGCTGAACAGAGGCCGAATTAACTCAGTTCATCTTCCTCATCTTTGTCTGCTAAAGGCATTCCTAGAGAGGGCAGAAAGGGAACTGTCAATGCCTGCTACCACACCCCTGCAGGAAGGTGTGGTCTGGGGAGGAAAGCCAGGGCTCCCAGTCTCCAGAGACACAAGGCTTCCATGCAGAGAAATGGGGCTTTATGGGAGGGAACCGTGGCTCGGGGACTTAAGGGGGGTGGATATTGGGAAGCAAGGGAAGAAACACTGCCTTAGATTATCTTCAGTAAATACCTGAGTTGATTAAGGGTTGGGTAATTAGCTTCCCACTGGAGTTGTTCATTTTATTTTCCAGCTGGGAAATGAGGGCTCTTGTGTGTGTGTGTGTGTGTGTGTGTGTGTATGTGTGTCATTTTTGTGTGCTGGTGGATTTGGAGTGAAAGGGGCAGGACATGGGGCAAGTGGTGCCTGTCATTCTTGGGAAGGGGCAATAAAAACAGCAGGATGTTTTTAGAAGTGATGTCATTCTTCCCAGCCCAAACTATCTATTAATTGACTGCATTTCATTAAAAGTCCAGTTTTTCCTATTTTTGCCACTTCAAAGGGAGATTTGTTACTCACTGCAGATAATTAATAACCAATTGCACAAGCAAGCATTCATAAGGACAGGAATAAACTTTACCGAATGTCAATAAAGCAATACTTCTTCTGTACATTTTCTAGTATTAACCATGTTTTGCTAAAACAAACAAACAAACACAATAACCAAAATTCTGTAATATTTTCTTTTCACTAGTCAAAGATTCCCACTGGGATCAGTTTTTAAAAAGCTTCTGTAACTTAAAATCCAGTAAGGCACCTTTAGGAGTAATTTAGAACTTTTAAGTTTTCCTGATTTTATCACAGTATTCATCTTTGAAATTCCTTTCTTTTTTTTAAAAAAAAACAATCCTTGGATTAGAGTTTTGGAACCCCCTGATAGTTTTAAACCAGAATTTCCTTACCCTATTAGAAGTCATTCCTGGGACTGGGGATGTGGCTCAAGTGGTAGCGCGCTTGTCTGGCATGCGTGCGGCCCGGGTTCGATCCTCAGCACCACATACAAACAGAGATGTTGTGTCCGCCGAGAACTAAAAAGTAAATATTAAAATTCTCTCTCTCTCTCTCTCTTTCTTTTTTTTTTTTAAAAAGAAGTCATTCCTTACCTCCACTGTCCTCAAATAACAAATTAATCAAGTACACAAAAAATTGCAGGTATAAAAATGTTAGTTGACTTTCCTCCTGTCTACAGTTCACCTCTTGACCTTTATCAGTTCTTGTCCTGATTGCAAAGCTGTCCTGGAGCTGTTTTGAGCAATTGGGAGGATAATCTAGATATTTCAGTTTCTTCTTTCCTTACTTATCCTTTGGTCCCTTGTCGTCCCTGGGCTTGACCATACCTGGAATGGGAGTGGGGGTTGTGGCACCACTGGAGTCTTGGCTACTCTGGTGACTGTTTTCTTTCTTTTCTTTATCCCTTTCAGCCCTAGGCATGCCCAGGTTTGGTACCTTTTGTGCCCAAAGGGAAAATAGCTTGCTTTTCTGTTTGCAAACATAACACAACGGGTGTTCACAGTTATAAAATGGTAGGCCTTAAAGATAACTTGCAAACCCTATTGACATTCTTACATAATTACAAAGAATGCAGCAAACTCACAACTTTTGTCTTCTCACTGCAGGCTAACAAAAGTAACTAAAGACATGTAGCTGTAAATTGGGAGTGAAAACTGTATTCTTAAGATTGTCAAAGCTTCTTTGAGCTCCTCCTTGATTTTGTAGGAGGGGTGGACTGCACCCACCAACACAGAAAACTGAGGGAGAAAGAAAGGGTGACCATTTAAGAAGCCAAGAAATTCCTTTAAAAGAAGTCAGAACATCTGAAACCAGATAGCTGTTTTCCTTACTGGGAGGTAGTTTCAGACTAACAAAGAGGAAGCATGACAGGAAGACAAGTTCACTCTCCAGCGGAAGCCAGTCTGCTGAATATAGCTGAAAGCACCGGAGGACTTGGAAAGACTACAGGCAAGATCTAGACCCCAGCCCAGTGTTAGGGGTCAGCCAGTTGGAGGACTAGCTGGTCTCCCTGAGTGTGGAGTCCTAAGATGAGAAGCCCACCCAGGTGTATTCTGAAGATTGCTTGGCCTTTACATGGGTGCTTACACTCATGTGTGGTGAAGTTCTCAAAAAATGACCTTCAAACAACCCATACTCTTTTGCTGGGCCAAAGTAAGGCCTTGGACCCTATCTGGGAACCAGTGGTATATTCTGAGCATTGAGAGGGTGGTGGGGAAAAAGTGGCAGACCCATTAAGATCCACATCACAGGCACCACCACAAGTCAATCCTCCCCATCCCAGGTTCCATTAAGAATCCTATTAAGGTGATATTATCAGCGCTAATCAGCCTGCCCTTTGTAAGGCATTTATCTCCTACTCCTGCAGGGGCTGAAGAATTTGTGGCAAGGGGGTCATTGTGATTGCTAAATTTTCAAAATTGCCTTGCTGTGTGAGTAGTAGGAGAATAGGAAGCTGAACTGTAGGTATAGTTAATTCCTCAAGTTAAGTTGGGAAATCAATCTCTGTTCTCCTTTCTTGACTTTCAAGATCAAAGATTTTAAGAATAGGAAGTATATTCTTAAATAAGGACATGGGGAAAATAGGTCAAAATTAGTAAGAAGTCCGTTATGAAATTACGCTCACTGGGACACAGAAAAAACAGGTCAAAACTCATTGGCATTTCTGTTAGGAAATTTTATTCAGGTGCCTGATGCTTTGCAGCTGGTAAAACTGACCAGGAAATAAGTAGGTCTTGGACATTGAGAAGCACACCACACTGGAACTTAGAGATCATTGTAGTCTGAAATCCTTATATTCTGAGGGTGGGAAAGTTTAGTCTTTAGGAGAGAAAGTCCTTATTCTCACGGCTAGAAGCTAAAATTGGCCCTAAATCTGCTTCCATTTGTTCTTGGGCACCTGCTGAAGATGCAGGATAGAGTCCAAACTCCTTGGTATAAGGGGAATGAATTTTGGATTAAAATTGGTGATCTAAACCTATCTATTAACCAAAAGGACTGTGGCTGTGGTACTAGTACAAATGGGAATGAGTAGGAAGGACTGAGGGAAAGAAATCTTGGAGCACAGTAAGAAATCTTCCATGCACAGTAAGAAATATGTTGAATTTCCATCATGATCAAACAGGGATACATGCACCCCTGGGACAAAAGTTACAGGAAATGATAACACTCTTTTTTTTTTAAATGCAATGCACTATGCTAATTCCTATTCTCTTACAGTCTCCCCCCACCTCTCTCTCTTTAATGCTAGTTGTTTTTTCTTAATGACCCCACTAGAGCCCCTGTGTAGAGCAAGAGTTTGGTGAAATGTCAGCAGTCCTGTGTGGGTCAGTTGTTTTCATATGAAGTCTGTCTCTCGTGATGAAGCCAGAGGCAGTGCCCACGAGACGGGCCATGGGTGAATGGCAGAGATAGCTGGGCAGCAGGGTAGGCTCCTGATGGGGAGAAGTCCTAGGAGTCTGGCTTCAAGCTGAATTCTGGCACTACCCTTAAGATAGAGGATACCCAGAGGTGATGTCCAGGGTGGACTTGAGTGGTTTCTTCCATCTTGTGGGTGAGCTCTCACTTGCACTCTGTTCTTTAGGCTCCTCACAGCAACCAGCCACAGACACCCACTGTCCCCCCCCCCCAATACTAGCAGTGGCTAAGGGGACAGAAACCCTTACACAGCTACTGCTGTCAGGAGAACCTTCCAGTGCTCCTGTCTCTTGGGCTAATACGCTTCTTCCCTTAGTTTCCTTTTGCTTGTTCTTTCAAATCCCCCAGAGAAAACCGACTTTTCACTTATCATTTTCTCTTTCGGTTCTAACACTGTCTTTTCCAGGCAGTCGCTGTCTCTCTGTCCTGTTAACAATCTGCCTGGAGGGGAATGAGACCTGGTCTGGCCTCTCTCCTTCACCTCTGGGGCCACCAGTCCTGCTCATTCAGCTGACCTGTGTTCCTTGTCTTCCACTCTTGTGACTGGCAGCTGTTTCTGGGTCCCTCCAGGAGGGTTTTACGGAGCCAGTAGCCAGTCTAATTGATTGACCCTGGGAGGTGGTGGTGGCAGCGGATACTGGAGCCAGGAAGGGAAGGTGGAGGTCAAGAAGTCTGGCACCTGCCCTTCCTCTCTCCACCAGGTCTCAAGACTCTGCCCAGGACGCATCAATAAAGCCCAGGAAAGAGGGCTATCAAAAGTCTAGGAAGTTGCCAGCATGACAGTCCCCTTGCTCCTCTTCGGTCTTTGTGGATTCCTGTTGAGAGAGTCCCTCAGCTTAGATGCCAAGAAAGGAAACCTGTCCAGTGCCAAGTGCAGAGCACTGGCTGTTTGAAGAATCATTCTTTCGGGGACTCTGTGCAAGGAAATGGTTAAGAACCTTTTACAGGTGGGGAAGAGGCTCAGAGATGTTGGATCATGGGTGCAGGCTGCACAGCCAAGGATTGACAGGGTTGAGGTTCATCCCGACTGCAGAGCCTTTGCTCCTTCCGGAATTTAGTCTGGTCTGGTCCTGTAACCTCTGCAATGGGAAGAGCATTTTCTCGCGGGCCTCACCATTGGCTTTTAGGTGGGGCAGACTGTTAGCCTTCTAGGTGGGGAGCTTTCATTGGTACCCTGTAACAGCCTTGCATTTCTTTTCTAAAAATGTGTGATACCTCAAATTATGTAATGGATACAAAGATCCTTTTGTTTGAGATTTTTCAGATGTTGTAGAGGTACAGAGAGTGACACATGACAGCTATTGTACAAGTGTTCCCACTTGCCCTGAGCATTGACGGAAGCTTCTCAGTAGAGGCCCACTTTGCCTGTTCTTTCCCCATTCTCTGTCCCGTGCTTTTTGGGCAGCAGTGTTGGCAGTCTTATAATGGAAGGGGATAGATGGGGGTTCTAATGGGAGGGAGGTGGTGCTCCCTGGAGGAGATGGCCGCTGAGGCCACCAGCACATCCAAGCACATCCAAAGCTGGTAGCACTACTCTGGCCAGCAGGTTTTCCATGCAGGGAGTTTGGTCACCATGACTCAGCAGGAAGGAGGGCCTGTGACCAGAGAGATATCCATTTATATCCTGAGGGAGGGAGCAGAGGGGAAGAGGAGTCTCCGGTCGGAGAGGAAAAAGTGGATGCCCTGTTTCTGTGAGCCTTATGATGTGGCAAAGAATCATTTTCCTTCCTCTGAAGCAGTAGAGTTGGGATTAGGGGCAAATGCTTGACTAACGGTCACATGTCTGCTCACTGGAAGATTAATGTGGATGGCGGGAGGGAACGGCGCCCTATATCACAGACATAAATAATGAAGAGCGTTTGCTCAAATGGGGCCACCAGCCAACTTGCCCATTTGGGTCTGTTAGGTTGGTAAGGGCTGAGGTTTCTCAATATGCAGGCTCTACTGAATCAACATCATTTCTCATCCTACAGAAACTGCAAAATAAAAATAAATTCAGAGTCAAACATTGACAGCAGATAGGAAGTTCCCCACAAGCAAAGTCCCAGAGATAAGAGAAAGTCAGATGCACTGGTTTGAGGGTCTTCTCAGGGTTTTCCCCACCCACCTCTGTCCCTTGGGTAGAGGTTGGGTAGCACCGACTATTCCACTATTCACCACTATTCCAATTAAGTTGGCCTTTTACCTTTTTATCTCAAAGTCCTCCTTCCCTGAAGATGATCCATGGATAGCTTTTCCTGGGCTTACCAACTCTCAGGAAAGCCTCCCTGCCCCTAAGCTGTACTGTGACAGGAGGGTTTTCCTTAGATTGATGCCCTTTCCTCTCCTTTGTGGCTCCTTGTGGATGGAACAACCGTTCATGAGGCGCTGCAATTGGCATCTGCTCCATTTCTGAGACCCAGAAGGACTGGTGTCACAGGTGAATTTTTCGTCCTTTTCCCCCCATATTGGACAACTTCTCCAAAGGAAGGGCTGGAGCCAGGGAACACAGGCATCTTTACATGCCCAGCTGTTTGTCCCCTGTGCTTTTTCACCCCGAGGAGGTGCTCTGCATATCCCCTGCACTTCTCAAACTGAACTAGTTCTCAGAGGTTTCCAGAAGTCCCCAGCATCCTTGCCGCTTTGTTGCAGTCCTGGCCTGACTAGACCCTGCTTCTCTGGAAAATTCTCTGTAGCTCTTATCTAGGCCAACAGCGCCACCCAGTGGCACCAACAAGAGCTAACTAGTACCCCATCCTAACAGCCCTCCTTAGCCTGGTAGGATTCAATTTTTTTTTTTTCCTGGTGTTCTGGTTGGTGCCCCTATTAACCTGAACTTCTTTCTCCTTTACAGGTGGCTATGAGAGGTTTTCCTCTGAATACCCAGAATTCTGTTCCAAAACCAAGACCCTGGCAGCCATCCCTCCTCCTGTGCCTCCCAGTGCCACGGAGTCCTTGGACCTGGGCTGCAGTTCCTGTGGGACCCCTCTGCATGACCAGGTAGACCTAAGGCATAGAACTGGGGAGTGAGGGGCAGAGTAATGCAAGAACACAGCAGGAGACTTCTTTTCAGAATGTGTGTGTGTGTGTGTGTGTGTGTGTGTGTGTTTTGGCTTCAAATGCAGTGCCTCAATTTCAGGAGAATGTGGGGAACCCTGAGTATTAGGGTGGGATATTAGGTAGAGTCCATTTATTCCTGGGAATTCTTCCCCTTCCCTCTCTTATTACCCTCACTTGAGAAAAATTATCAAGACATCACCCCCTGGCTTGACCTGCAGAGTTATGAGTGGACAAAGGAGGAGGAGGTCCACTAGAATTTGCCATAGGGTGAAATGAGAGAACACCCTTCTCAGCAGGAGCAGCCATGAATCCCTGGTCCCCTGCAACAATCAGGCTGTTCTCCCCGCCCACACCAGCCAATTGTAAATGCCAGTGGTCATAAAGGGATAACCACCTTTCTCTAAGACAATCAGCTTGAGCTGCTCATTTGTTCCAAGCATACCACCCCTTCTAGCCCTTTCAGTTAGATGGAAAATGAGTGAAGTTATAGGGTCCCTGCAACTCTGCCCCATAAGTCTCATTACAAGTTTAATCCTGCACTAATTCTGCCATGACCCCTCCCTTTGCCTGAGAGACCAAGATGGCGTCTGTCTCTGATGTGCTAAGTGAAGATATATCCAACCAAATTGGATATAGCCAACCACAGAACAGATAGCTTGATGACTGGCAGACGGGGACGCCTAATGTTGCAGGAGGCCCAGCAAAGCCAGTGTGGTGCTTGCTACCATGGGGAGGTGGGCTGCCTAAGCAAGGGGGGGGGGTCCCATAAGGCTGGCTGTCCTGGCTCCTCTGTCCACCAGCAGAGTGAAAGGCTGGCAGAGTCCTGCTGAGCCCTGCGACCCTCTCAGAGCCCCAAGACAGGAAGGGCAAAGCAGAAAGGCTGCGTCCAGCAGGTGTTTTCCCCAGGCCTAGAAAGCCCACCTGGGACTGGTTTGGGCACTGCAGTCCCTTCTCTGGTTGCCTTACACTCACCTTGTTTGGGTACCTTTGTGCCCTTTCTGGTGCAGGGGGGTCCCGTGGAGATCCTTCCATTCCTCTACCTCGGCAGTGCCTACCATGCTGCCCGGAGAGACATGCTGGATGCCCTGGGGATCACAGCCCTGTTGAATGTCTCCTCCGACTGCCCAAACCACTTTGAAGGACACTACCAGTACAAGTGCATCCCAGTGGAAGATAACCACAAGGCCGACATTGGCTCCTGGTTCATGGAAGCCATCGAGTACATCGGTAGGTGGGCATAGCCCTGGGGTACTGGCTTCCAGAACCCGGTGGGGAAACATGAGAGGAAACCACTGCAAACTTGGTGTTGTGGATGGGACTTAGCAGGCTGTGTATCAGAGTATGCTCATTTCCCCTGCTCCCAACAGGAAGGCCTGTCCACTGGGTGTTGTGTGGGGCAGGGATGAAAAAATCAATTCCTTTACCATGCTTGGAACCTTTTTGCATGGCTCCAGGTGTATAGGTAGTTAAGACTTTTTCCATGGGAAGGAAGACAAGGAGAATTGGGTTACTGTTTTGTTTCTGCAAATGAAAATCCCTTGAATGAATAGAGGGATCTAACTGGCTTTATCATGCATTTTTTCCAAGTGTAGTGCATTTTTGATTCAGTCTCCAAATTATCCTGGAACAGGTGGAATTCTGGAGTCTTCCTACCCCCTCCCCAGTCTAGCACTGCTACCCCCACAGCCTGGCTTGTGCCACATGCACCAGCCACTTGGAAGTATGAGGCCCTCTGACTGCCCTAATCCCGTCCTGGTCTCTGCCCCCCAGATGCAGTGAAGGACTGCCGTGGTCGGGTGCTGGTGCACTGCCAGGCGGGCATCTCACGCTCAGCCACCATCTGCCTGGCTTATCTGATGATGAAGAAGCGGGTCAGGCTGGAGGAGGCCTTTGAGTTCGTCAAGCAGCGCCGGAGCATCATCTCGCCCAACTTCAGCTTTATGGGGCAGCTGCTGCAGTTCGAGTCCCAGGTGCTGGCCACCACCTGCGCCGCGGAGGCCGCCAGTCCCTCTGGCCCGCTGCGGGAGCGGGGCAAGGCCACCCCCACCCCCACCTCCCAGTTTGTCTTCAGCTTCCCCGTCTCCGTGGGTGTGCACTCGGCCCCCAGCAGCCTGCCATACCTGCACAGCCCCATCACTACCTCCCCCAGCTGTTAGAGCCCATCTCCCAACCCCTGGAACCAGGCTTGGCTCCCAGCAAGCTTTGGGAGAGCCACCACCTGTGTGGGCAGCAAGTAGGGACTGACCAGCTGGGGGCAGGTGACCAAACTCCGTCCCCATCCATTTCTCCTTGGCCGACCATGGGGCCAGCTAGAATGGCAATAAGGACTTTGAATACACATTAAAAGCAAACAAACAAAACACTCCAACTTAGAGCAATAACGGCTGCCTCTGCAGCCAGGGAAGACCTTGGTTTGGTTTATGTGTCAGTTTTCCTTTTCAGGTAGAAATTTCTTACCTCATTTTTTTAATCAATAAGGCTTGAAGTTATGAAACCCACAGATCCTGGCAAATGTGCCCATCCAGTTTTATTAAGTGGGGGAGGGAGGGGGGAGGGAAAAGAAGAAAACAAGTTTGCCAGAAGTGCCTGGTTCTGTGTGCTTGTCCTTTGTTGTTGTCGTCACAGGAATTTTGCTTTTTAAAAGACATCTAGGATGTGGTTTTCCTTTCTAATTATTCATCGACAGGTGAATAATTGTGCTTAATAATAAATAAAGGTATTTATTAAGAATTTACTCAGAGTATGTATGTACAAGGAGTCCAGTGACAGTGGATTTAGAATATCTTTGTGTTGATCTCAAAACAGCAGAACACGGTAGCATGCAAATGTCCAAGCGGCCAGGAGGTAGATAGATGGTGTCTTGTAGGTGTGTGCAAGTCAGCTAATGATCTTGAATTTGTTGCCACTGAGAAGCAGGCAGGATGGGGTGGGAGGGGAAAGGAAGGGAAAGGACTGCTTTTTACTTTCTTTTGCTGCAGGTTCCTGGGCACAGAGACCACAACCATATAACCTTTTCTCTGATGATCAGTTTGGTGTTTGGAGCATTTTTCTCATAGGCCCATCTAGGACATGCCTATTGTCTGTGATACAGGCCCCAAGGTGCTCCTGGGAAATTGGGTACAGTTCAGATTTTTCTTCAGTGAATCATTTGGCAAGACCATGGGGGGGAAAAAGATTACTAAAGATACACCTGAAATGAATCCTTTCATTAGTTGAAGCACCATCCTCTCTATTTTGCGTAAATTATAGTTTTTAATCTTAAGGAGTTTACTTGAAATATACCAATACATTGTTCCAAAATTAAATTCCTGTTAGAAGAATATTTTCAAAGGCCCTCTTTTGAATCTAAAAGGGGATGCCACATTTCAGGTCTCCTTGAAGTCTAGAAGGGCAGGAGCACACGGGCGAGGTGGGGTGGGGCAGACTGCTTGCCTGCTGCGGGCTCCTGTGAAGTACATCATGGGAGTCCTGTTGAATCTTGACTTGGACTAATGCCATTTTAAGGGGTCTTTCCAAATGGAGGAATGGCTCTGGAGGGAGAAGGAATATTTCTGTGGGGAGGGATGGGGGGGGAGGGAGGAGGGAGCAAGTTACATGTTATTTCATTTGTAGTGTTGTAGTTGTTATGGAGTGCCAGACTAGAGGTCATTGCAAACTTGTCTAGAAATGAGAGCATTTTTTAAAGCCCTTTGAGCGTCTAGATCTCAATGAACATTGTTGCTCACCCATAAATAACTTCAAGCCTCAATGTCACAATCATGTTGGAATGCTCTTTCTCACCCAGCATCGCAGACAGGCCCAGGTTCACTACATTTCCTTTTGTGAACTGTGAACCTGGTTTGGCATTATTCATCCTGTCTGTCTGTCTCAAAGCCCTACCTTTGGGTGAGGCTTCCTGTTTTCAGAAAAGCCAGAGGTGCCCTGCTTCCCTGGGAGCTGCTTGGCTGAACAGTTAGTTGATAGAAAGGCATGAAGGGCCTGGGGTTTCTGGGCAGTGGACCCATGTAGAGACGGCATGGTTGGACATTCCCACTTTCTCCTTGATTCCTGAAAGTCACTTCATGGTTGGTGGAGAATGCAGTCTCAGCTAAAAAGGCCATGGGGGATTAGGGAGGGCGGGTCGCCCAAAGAACAGATTCACTTTTCATACAGTGAGTGTACATTTGCCAAATCTGTCCTGCGTCCCCAGACTGGATCCCAGTCACACAGATAGTGGGAACTGAGAACTAGCTCCTGATGTCTTTTTTCCTACTTCCCAATTCAAGTCTTCTATCACAATGATAAACTACTATTTATAAAGTCATTTTCTTTGTTCTTGATAATGGCATGAGTCCCAAACTCTTAGAAATAAAATAGAACATTGGCTTGATTGAAAAGGGGGACATTTTTTTTTATTGTTGTTCTCCCACCAGAAGCCTCTTTGATGACTTGGAAGAGCTCTAATGAAGATGTTACTGCAGGGTCAATCCCAATGGCCAGTGAGTTTTCATAGGCAGCTGTCTCCCATGAAGTGACTTTTGGTGACGGGAAGCATGGTCACGTGCATAGACTCCCAGCTTTGCTGTTGACCATACAAGGCAGGCTCTTGTAAGGAAAGCTGCTGATTCCTTCCCGGGATCTTGTCTGACCCCTTGGGTGTTTGGAGAAGCCCTGAAGGAAATAGACTGGTCTTTCTGGAGAGCAGTATTAGGCAGAAGCACTGTGAGCAGCTGGGTTTAGCAGCTCCCTGGTTTAGGAATTCCTTTCTGAGGCCATTGTGATCAGGTGCTGTTTTCAACAAAGTTGGGAAGCCATGAGAAAAAAAAATCTAAAAGTCCTTGGGAAGATGGGGGGGGGTGGTGGTGGCAGGGAGGATAGTTGACTCTAAATAGAAGGGGAAGAGGCTGGAGGCTGGGAGGTGGCCATGAAGCTGTAGTAATGAAGCAGTGGTTCATCTTGGCTGCCCATTAGAAACACCTGGGGAGTCCTCAAAATCCTGATCCCTGTGTTACTCGAGACCAAGTCAACTAGAATTTCTGAGGTGGGACCAGGCATCAGGAGGCATCAAAGTTCCCCAGGTGCCTTTCATCTACTGCCAAGTTAGAGAGACCGCCTTGCTTCCTAGAGGGCAGAGCGCCACTGCAGGTGGGTCTTGCCAACCTAGAGCTGGCTTGTCTCACAGAACCACAGCCAGGGGGTTGTTTCTGGGCAGTGGACCACTGGCTTGGTAGGGTCTCATTGCCAATTCCAGTCCTGCTGAAGGATGAGATGGTTTCTCCTTGATGTTCCTGAATGAGACACCCTTTCATGTTCCTCCAAAGCCATCTGAGGAGTGCAGTTATTGGACACGGTACAGTGTCTGGGTGTTGTTTCTCCGTGGAACTTTCTTGTCAAGAAAAATGGAAGGGGTCTTTTTGAAGCAGTACCTTTTCCTCCAGTACCCTGTCCTTCCTTAGAGTTTGAGTCACACAATAAGAGACTTCTTAAAGGACAGCAACGCAATACTTGTAACGTGTAAATAGCCCCATCTCTCAGAGTGATGTCATTTCTACATTTGATATGCCTGTATTTCTGTAGGATGTATATAGTTTACGGGATTTTTTTTGTTTGGTTTTGTTTTTTTAGAAAAGTAAACATGTCTGTTTTTATTTATTGCTTGGAAAAGATCATTTGAAGAAAAATAAATACATTTTCAACCACCTCTGCTTTGGTTTAGTGTTTCCTTGAAAACTGTGTTGCTATCAGAAGGGGAGGAATCCTGGGACCTTGAAGGATTTGAAATGCTCTTTCTCACCCAGCATCGCAGACAGGCCCAGGTTCTAAATACTTAGTAGCATTTGCACTGGAGACCGGCTGGTGAGAGCAGTGAGCACATTTTCCCCTCCTGAACACCATTCAAGGCAGGTGAGAGGAGAAAGCTGATAATAATGTCTAACAATCTGGTTTCTCTGGTAGTGGGGGGAGAGAGGGAAAATCGAATGGTAAGAGACAGGAGTGTGCTTCATCCAAGAATCCACTGTGTGCCAATCATAGGACACGATGGTAAGGATGACTCCTCAGGTCAGTTTCAGCCAGCCTGAGCAGAGTGACTGGGGTTGGTTGCACTTAAGATTTCATTTCAGAAGTCACAGCATGTTACTTAGGTTCTACTATATTGGTCAAAGAGTTGCGAGCCTGCTCTGATTCAAATCTCTTGGAAGGAGAGCCAAAACACGTTTGTAGCCATTTGTACAACACCAGGGAACAGTGATCTAGAAAAACCTAAACATGCGAGTGTTACCCTTCATACAGATATAACTGTCATCTGAGATAGTATCCAAGAACCAAAACTTCTGATGGGGTTTCAGTATCCTGGGGTGTGGAAGATTAGGTCTTTCAAAGTTCCCAGATGGACTGGGGTGCACCCTATATGTTGACTCCAAGGATCTTGCTTCAGTTCTTCCTGTAATCCAACAGAAGTACATCAAATTGAGAGCAGCAGCTGCTTTATCTTCTTGCTCCCATGACAGACACTACTAATCAGCTACTCTTATTTCCTATGGAGGCACAGATAGTCACTGAATCTCAACATGATCACTTCCTTGGTCAGTCCACAGATACTGTTAATCCACATCTCTAATAAGATGTGGGTCCTAGTACAATCTGTTTTATAGATGGGGGCGGAGAGGCACAGAAATCGGTCAAGATCACAGATGCTTGGTGGAGCCACGTTTGAATCAAGAGTTCCCATCAATCATGCATGCTGCTGCTTATTGTGTACCTGCTTCATCTCTCCAGAAACATTAAAAAAGACAAACCTATCCCTAGATAAAGACATGCAGCAAGTAGAGGACTGTAAAAGCAGTGTAAGGAGGAAACGGAGGCAAGGAACGTTTGAAGTTCATTCTAGTTCCAGACCCCCTGTTCCTGCATAGCTCACCTCACGTCTTCTCTTATGCATCCTTCTCTCTGCATCCACTTGAGGTATCTTGCTTTTGTACAGTAAGTGACACAGAGACCATGCAAGTGCAGGACATGGAGAGCAAACAGAAATGTGTACTGGAATCCTCCACCACTGTAATATGGGGGAGCTTTGCAGACATCTCTGTGAGCCCCTGCTAAACTCACGCCTTTGGATCTCTGAGGTCACATCTCTACAAGGGTGGGGAGTTTCAAACTGAAATATTCATTCCAAAAAGGTTAAAAAAATAAATACCATATATCAAATGGGCATTTATTATCTTCCAATGATGGGCTTTTTTGTAAGAACTGAGTTGGATTACTCAGCCTAGACCTCTTAACTTTTTATCCCCCAAGATGCAGATCCCACACTTCCTAGTTGAGACGGAAGGGACAGGGGAAGGTACAGACTATGGCAGGGAAAAGAAGAGGAGATACGAGGTCATTTCAAAGTACAGGAACCCCACCTGATGAAAAAAATGTAGTTCAATGAGCCAATGGATGTCCTCAGTTCTAACCAGCTGGGCCAGTGGCTCCCTTTCATGGGAGGGTTAGTAGTGAGGGGCTAGGAGGACAGGCAAAGGCAGAGACAAAGATTAGAAACAGGCAAAGTGGTCAATTTCCCCACATACCTCCTGGAGGAGAAAACTTTGGAGAGAGCTATCACCTTTGATATTGAGGGTTTCATAACTGTTCATTCTCTAAAGGATTTCTTCCAGCCCACCCCAGGATTTACATGTTAAGTGGCATATACTTTCTCTTCTGGAATTGGCAAAGTTCCCACTTGTGTTCTGGAATCTCCTGGTGACAGCAGAGAAAGGAGCCAGGATAACCTGAAAATGGAGCTCAGGTCACTTGTGACAGCAGGACATCTGTCTGATCAGAGCAGTAACTAGGAAACTGGCTCCCCACTCACTGTAATATGGGAGTTCTGGGGGAAGCTACTGAATTTATTAAGGGGTCACTCATTATAATGTTCCCTTGCTGTTTCTGCTGTTCAGCACAGATCAATTCTCATCCTTCAATAATAGCACCCCATTTGATTCATGGGTATACCCATTCTTCCACATGCTTCAGGGGAAGCCCCTGAGTCAGGCCTAAATTAAACAACATAATCCCACCCAATTAGCCACAGGGCAAGGTTCAGAGATGAGCACCTGAGCTACACTGTGCATCAGAATGCAGCCTGGGCTTTTAGTAGGTGGTCAGGGAAGGTTCTCCACAGCTGCACAAAGCATGGCCTTTTCTATTCTTCGCGTCTCTCTTTAAAAAACACATTTTTAAAAAGGGCACTCTTAGAAATATAGCAAAATTGAGCAGGAAGTACATAGAATTCCCATATGCCTCTCTTTCCCACCAGTCAACATTCCCCACTATAGCAGCACAT